AATAAATCCGTACTGAATTTCATTCGATGCCGTCTTCATTACTTTAAACAAATGTTTTCGGCTTAATTATGGTACTCGCGTCAAAACTGTAACACGACTATTTCAAATGAATTAAAAAGTGTTTATTAATATCGCACTATACAGCAAAATGAGGGATACTGGCGACGGACCCTCTCCAAAAAACCACACCACACCAACGAGAGGACTTTGAGCCTCAACGGATTTCATGTGTGTATCAGCCCCTCAAAATGGCGCATCTTGAATGGTACTGGGTTCGAACCCATTATCCTTTGGCAATAAAGCCGTGACCATGACCACTAGGTTGCCGCGGCTACCATGACTATTCCAAATCAAAAACAGAGTTGTAACAGTGATGAAGTAATCGATTAATGAAGATTTTCATTTAGTTAATCAAGGTTTTTTAATAAAAAATGTTTGAAATGAGATCATTTTCGAAATCCTACATAATATACTTCGCATAAAATTACGTTTTCCACTTCATAAAAGATATTAACACAATCAAACGTACATCCGAAATAGTTTTGCGCACAAAATACTTAAGTACAATAGCACTGCTACAGCATCTAAGCCGAATAGAAAGAATGGAGACGTTAAATAAAAACCCCAGTAGTATTTGTGAGGTTCCAAGATGGATGCATCGACAGCCAATTTATTCCGGGAAAATTGGACACGTCTTGATGCTGACAAATAGTTAGCAATGACAACACTTTTAACAGGCCACAGTGAATGATAGTGGTCCCTGAAACCTGGACGAATGTGTCGGCTAATGGGATTTTGATGTGAGCACCCTCCCACGCAAGGAAGAAAAATGTACACGTTATGCCCTGCAGGGATTAAAATTTCTTTAGCTATCCTTCCTGGATATTCAATGAGGGTGAGAACAACGCGTATCTATTCTTACAAGTTAGATTAAGGAAATATATTAAATAGTATATGTAATTCCATATTAGAATTATTACTGATAGATTCACTACTATTAAATATCTTGTTTGAATAAGGGACAAAATACAATTTCATTAAATATATATATAATCATAAGTTTTATTGGGATTCACAGTCCACTACAGATTTATTTAATATGCCATTTAAATATATTTTCAAAGATTAACAAAAGAATGATGTATCTTGATATATATTATAAATTTGCTATTGTTTTCCATAAATTTGGGTATGTTAAAAAGTAACTCATCTTTTTTTGTGCATCCTTATTACTCACATCGAGTTAAACACAATGGGCTGAATTAATGTGACGTCATCGTCACATGATAACTACAATCACGTGTTTGCAGCCAATCAGTTCATACACTTAGCCGTTGCCAACTATGGTTTCAAACAAAAACTTTTTTTAAAAAAACACTAATTTGTCAACAATAATGCACTTAGGAAAATAAAATAAATTTAATTTAAAAGTACACATATGGTATAATTTAAAAAAAAAATTTGAAAAACTTTTTGAAGAATTCTAATGTTTGAACATCTTTACGCAATTAAAAAATTCGAGCATTTATTTAAATTTTCTTAGTAGAGCAACAAGTATAAGTCTAACGTCAGAAGAATAATTCAATGAAGAACACGTGATTGCATTGATCATGTGACCACCGATTTCTTGTATATAATTGTAGAGGGGAAAATTGTTTGTGGGCAATGGATGCTGTTTTTTCAATTCAAGCTCAAATACATTTTTTTAAACTTGCAGTGGACGACACTTGAGTTACTACAATTTTTCAAATATTAATTCATTCATTTATTAAATTAAAAAAAGAATAAATTGTTACAAATAAAAATAATAGTCCAACAGCTTATATAAAAAAGAAAATCGTTCGTTGTGTCCCAGCAGCGCAATGCATAGCGCGTTGGACTTCTAATCCAAAGGTCGAGAGTTCGAATTCCACCTGGGATGGCCTAATTTCTAAGAATAAGATTTATTTTTTACTATACTATTTTATTAGAATAATTAAATTTAACGAATGAATAAATAGTAACAAATAATATATATATATATAGTCCAACCCCCTATATAGATAGGAAAATGGGAAGTTGCAAGAAAAATAGCTCCCTATTTTGTCACTTAATATAGTGATTCTGTCCTATGCATATACATATTTATATCAATTGTAACTAGAATAAAAATTTTCTTTGTTGACCTAAGTAGGAATTGACTTAAATATTTTACATTTAATACTTGTAACAGCAAAACATGCAATAAACATTAAAATATAAATTATAAGTGAAATTTTTAGAAATCACTTTTGTTACAAATTTATTCACACTGAAATAATTGGAATTTATACTTGAAAAATACGATTTTTTTTTTACCTAATTCAGTTTATTATCTATTTATTTTTGGCACTCATATTTCAAAACCAACAAAAAGGAGGGGAAGAAAGAAAAAATTTTTAAAAAAAATATTACTCGTTAACCACAGGCAATAAATAAATATATATATATATATATATATATATATATATAATACGCAGAAAAAAATCGACATGTCAGCTTATGTAGATTATAAACTTATGCATCACAGTAAAATATTCAATAGAAGGTAAAAAAGAATCTTGATAAAACACTCCTCCAATTACACCATGTATCAAAAGCAAAACGAAAAACAAAATCTTAAAAAAAATCCCTTCTTAAGTAAAAGATCAGACACTAGTCACTAATAAAAAGGCCTCCTCCACCTGACAATTGCATTTCTGATTCATAAGGTAATTTTGAAGCGAATCATTTAAAATCGCTCCCTCACCGGTATTAAAGTTTAAAGACGGTGGAGGCCCCATAACAATATCGATTAGATGCTAACCTCAGGATATCGCCGGTCCAATACTTAAAACGATCCTACGAGCGGGCGAATTCATTCATTAATATGCAAATTAATGACGTCACAGGCGATAAATTTTCGCGCCCGAAATCTTGATAATTTATCATTCGGCTTTCTCGGGAAGAGAGCGGCAATGGCCCCAATTACGGGTCGAACAGGGGCTGCCAACCCCTTTTGACACCCACCGCTGAAGGGCGCGCCCCCTCGTAGCAGCCCCGAAAAGTCGGATCAGCCCCCTTTTCAGCGAAGGAATGAAAAATTAGTGTCTAAAAGGTTTTGAAAGATCCGAAACACCATGAATTTCCTTTCTTCTTTCCCTTGTCATCGGAGAACCAACAAGTGAAAAAAAAAGCTTAAAAAAGAAACTACGTCCATATGAGTAGACACAAGTACTCTTGAAAATGATTTAAATAAACATTAACCTTTGCAAAACATAAATAATCTCGAAGCAATTTTTTGTTTCTTTATTTCAAAGATCCAATAGACATTCTACAGGTTTGTATCCCTTAAACATGTCTATGTAATATGGAAAGCAAAATATTACTTCATTACTTTTAAAGATGATCTTCACCTGACGTTTAGGACATTGATGTTAAATTCTGACGTTTACTATCCCTCAAAGGACACATTTTATTTTGCTAATCGAACTAATATATGTTTCTTTAATCTTAAAATGTTCTTCCTAATTTGTCGTCTGTATTCTAATATATTCGTTAAAAAAATTCGAGGGGGAGGGGCTGCATCCATAAAATATTTCGAAGTTTTAACAAACCAAATATGGTAAATGGACATACACGTTACAACCAACTGAACTAAATATTGTAATAAAAATGTGTTTAAAACATAATCTGAGATATTAGGTGGTTCACTGATTGCTCATTAATAACGCACTATAAGACAACACGAGAGCTGTACGACTTCATAATATTCAACCACTGTCAAATGACGAGGACGACACATGAGAATTAAGCTGACACTGCACTCTCCGAATTTCCATACCCCACCTAAGAGAAGATGAGCCTTTGGCAGAAAAAACGTGCATCAGCCCCTCTGGGCTTTAAGTGGCACCAGGATTTAAACTTACACTCGTTAAAAATGCCAGCCACAAGTTCGAGACCATGACCACACGGCTACCGCAGTCACCCAGACATTAAACGAAGACAACCTCAATGAGCGACAAATATAATCGCAATCAATACAAAGAAATAAAAAAGCAGTAATTATGTTTAAGAAGCATAGCTAAACGTTCTACTTGTACAACTCTTTCTAAAAGACGAATTATCTACAACAGGAGTGTCTAACTCGCAGCTCACAACAAATATTTTGGCGACCCGGCCAGTATATCTCGGCACACAATAATACATAAAAAAATATCAAAATTTTACCCGAAATAGGAAGAAAGTAGCAGAGAAGAAATGTTAAGAGTCAGGACGTGTGTGTGTGTGTGTAAACATTTGGGATGAACGAAAGATACACACATACACAGAGTTAAGGGCAAGATAGAAAAAGATGAATTTCTTATAGAAGCATAAAAAAACTGGTAGAAATTAATGCATCATTAAAAAAAAAAATTCTGAACATCCAAAAATAGGTAACCAAAAATGTACATTTAAACAAACAGAAAAGGAAGGTACAATGCAATAAAAGACAATATAATTAATTGTGCCATGTTTTTATATTGTCTTGGAGTTCAATATAGTTGACAAAAAATAAAATTCTTGAAAAAAGGAAAAGGAAACTGTCAAAACAATTTTTTTTAAAACTACATCATGAAAACATTTTCATATTAACTTCTAAAACCTTACAGAAATCTCATCGTACTGTGATCTGCGTGTTTACACTACCGCTTCCCTTCCAAGCCCCCAAAAGTACAGCTTTTACCTGAAACCATTTCTGAATTCGCAGAAAATGGTACAAATAATGAGTAAAGGAAAGGCAGGGGGGAGGTTATCCCACAACTATTTGTTTCCACGGGTAACGATCCAATACGTCAGAAACAATACATCCGATACACCATGCGGAATCACATAAATAAGAAAGAAAGAGAAGGGGAAAAAAATAGGTCGATTTCTGGAAAATAATAAAATACTAATAGTAATAATAGGGAGAAGGGGAAAAGACCTTCAATGCGTAATTGCATTGAGAGAGAGAGTTTATATGTGTGTTCAATGATCTTGCGCCTATAACTCTGAGAAGGACAGTTATGGTCCTTGTAATTGCTCAATAAATGTCAGAACCTTTTAATAAATGTCTCCTTTTCCTTTGAGGGCTTCATTTATGGCACTCCTTCGGTTCGATCGGGCGGAGGGACATCGGAAATCGAGCAGGTATTTGGGTATCGGGGGCGGAGGAGGGTGATGTATGGGATGGATCGAGACCGCACGCTCAACACTCGGAAATCACGAGAACCATTGTTTGGTAGGACCTTGCCTTTTTTTTTTTATCTATCGACAACGATTGTTTGTGGAATTGTACAGAAAAATCTTTTAATTAAAAATATAATAAATGATTTTTAAAATAAAGTTTCCCCCTAAAAGATATCTTAATTATTCATGTTAATTCACTGAGAAGTATCATTTGTGTAACCAATCACACGTTCCAAATTTTTTTTTTCAATACCATCATGAAAAGACGGGAAATTCTTTCTCTCTTTCATTTTTTTACTTACCAAGGATATTCAAAAGACTGTGGAAAAAGAAAAAAACCACCGTTTTCTTTTTTAGATATTTTGGTTTTTTTTTCCCTATAAATTTATGAAAGCAGATTCCACAACGCATTCGATCGAATCAATTTTTATTAGAAATATCATTTAATTTTTCAAAACCATTACAATATGTTCGAAATTACGACC